TAAAGATAGAACGATCACTTTAGCTTTTATTCCAAGAAAGTATCTTAAAGAAGTTGGATCAAATATAAATTAGAGAATAGAAAAATGCTAGAATAAATTAAGTAATCAACTAAGAGCTCATATGACCTTATCTCAAGTTTAAAAAAGTCAAAGATAAAGTGATTTTATTGATTAATGATGATATTGAAGATTAATATAAAATGATATGGAATCTTGCAATTAAATTAATAAAACAAATTCAGGCAACACAATACACATGAAGCTCAATAATAGTGACGTCCTTAATGAGCCACAAAAAGTTCAGAGAATATATCCGTTTTGCTGCTGGCAAACTTGATTTTAGAGCAGGTTGTAAAAAAAAATAGGTGTGGCTAGGTGTTGGTTGAAGGGGCCAATCTATGAAACTCAATTGTTTCAGTAGTTATTAGCCTTGATGGTAACACCAACATATTTTTTGTTGCCTATGCAATTATATAAAACAAAAATAAAGAGACATGAGCTTGATTTTGAATCAACTGGATATTGATTTGTATATAGGATATTTATGTTAGACAATTCAAAACAAAGTTTATCGAAACTTTTAATGATGTATTATCTCATGTGAGACATTTCCATGATAATTATAAAAGGCAAACTTTGATGCTATCACATTAAATTTTTGTTTGAAATGTGAAAAGGGTAGTACAATTAAAAGTTTGATAATTGCATAAAAAATATTTTAAAGTTAGATCTTGATGTTGCTACTCGATTAAATAACAAAGAATCTATTGAATCTATTGAATGATCTAGATCGCATTTCTCTTTAGATGCTAAGAGTGATATCTTACTAAATAATTTGTGTGAAGTGTTTAATAGTATGATTATTGATGCTAGAGAAAAGTCAATTAAAATATTTAAAAAATGTGATATCTAATCATGCCTAGAATGTAAACTAATAGAAGAAAATACCGAAACGAAAATCAAGTGATATTTATCATAAAATCGAGGATATATTAAATAGAATTCAAACTGTAATTGTTGAATATATTCCTGAAAAATTTAATCTTGAAACTATGAAATTTTAAGAGTTATAATTATAGATAACATGAGAGTTAACTTGGAGAACATAACTTGGAGTTGTAGGAAATAGAGTTTAACTGAAATTTCTTACAAGAATTCTATTGCGATAATTTGGACTAAGAAAGACATTATAGATTATGTTCATTATTGTTACAAAATAGAAACATATAGAAAATTTCATGAAAATTCAGTTCTTCTAATAAATGGACCATAAATATGGCCTAACTCCTAAGTCAAGTAAAGTTTCTCCTTAGCTTTCTAGGGTTACAAATGATAATTAAGACAAAGAAAAAATCTACAAAAAAATAAAATGAAGTTAAAGCTAGTCGAATGATAACGTTAAAATCACTCTCCAAAATCATTTAAAAGAGTGGGTGATTGTCGTTAGTAAGAATATCCAATAAAGAGTCGGGGTCGAATCCCACAGGTAATGTATATGGTTAAGAATTTAATTAGAGAATTAACAAGCAATTAATTCTAATGAAGTTGAACAACAACTAGATGGAGAAGTCCACCAACTTTAATAACAACAATTCAGTCACCAAATCAACAATATTGAAATAATTGACAATTCACAAAGTTGAAGAACTCAAGGGATGTGGGGGTCAAATGTTGATTCCTTTTGGGGTGGTGTAGAGTTGCTCGTTACACCTATTCAATCACAATTAAGATAGGTTATCGTAATTATACTAATCTTCTCTCGATCTGAAAGCATCCTTGCATAGAATTTTCTTTCAATCTCATCTATATACCATTCAAAGCAACCCAAAACTTTAGATCTGCAATAAAGAAACCTAAACTACAACTATTGAACAAATTACCCACTTATATTGGTCTCTTTCGAGCACCACTACAAGATCAAGGCTATAATTAAGTTGGTAACCTTAATTTATGAATAAATCACTTAGCAATCAGTCAAATCTATGATAAGTAATCTTTAAATAGAGCAATTCAGCAAACCCACCAGATGAAATCAACACCCAACCTCATAATCACACACCAAGAGTTTGGGGTTTTAGCCACACATTGCAAAGTGTAAATAGATTATACCTTGCATGAAATTAGTCAAGGGTAACTTGAATTTAAAGATTTAATAGAAAACCCACTTCAATTCAAACATCAATTTTCCAAATCTTCGTTTACACAATTGTAAACTTTTACAATAAAGTTGTTTGCTTTAATGAAAAAGGTTTCTCTCTCTAGAATGTTCAGAAATTTTCCTCAATATTTCCCCCCTCCACCCCCTCGAGAGCAAGATGCCTGCCGAGATGGAGCTGGGAGCAAACCTTTTTTCTCTCTCCTCTGGCTATTTATAGTTTTTCAAAATTTTGCCCAAAAATTAGTTTGTGTCCCTTTCAGTGACGTCAGCTCAGTTCGCCAACTACATTCGGTGAATCACCCATTTTTCTTAGGTTCACCTTTTTCTTTCTTCACGCTTCAGGTGTTTGAGTCTCATTAGGCAATTCCATCTAAGTTCGCTTTTGTTAATTTGGCAATTCACCTATTTCCTCCTCATATCGCCATTTGAGCCATTGTTTTATCTGCAAGCATTGTCAACTTCAGCGACAACCACTTGCTTCACCTTATGTATTTCGACGGATCACCTTTCTTGCCTCACTTCACCGATTGACTTTGAGGGCTGACTAAGTGCACTGTTATTTTGGGCGGTCTCAGATTACTTTGGTGACTCGCCCTTCTCGTTAGGCGATCTACACTATGCAATATGCACTTCCTTTTGTCTTTTTGGCCATCCTTTCCATGCATTGATCCTTGCCTTGTCCAATTGCCTTCATAGATCAATATTTGATCAAAATAGGACAAAATTAGCATTGAAGACACTATTCATTGAGCTAAATGGACCTTAAATGAGTGAAAATCTACCACTCATCAACACCCCCAACTTAAACTCTTGTTTGTTCTCAAGTAAATCAAGAATACAATAAGCTCAATAAGGGTATCTACAACAGTATTCAATGAGAGCTAATATGCAAGCGACATAGCAAGACTACTCTCAATAGAATGTTACCCTAAATCATGATAAAAAAAGCTTCAAATGATGACTAGCTAGCCTTAACACAAGCTCAAGCTCATCTTAGCTTCTTGTCAAATGAAAGAACATGTTTCAACAAATGCATTCAAGTGCCCTAACATAAAGAACGATTCCATGCTCACACAAAGAAAATCAATAAAAGTAATAGGAATCAATGCAACTCTCACTCTCTCAAATGAGAAACACATGCAAGCTTTGTCTCATAGGTTTGCTCATATTTTCCAATCGTCACACAACCTAGTTCATGCAATATCTCAAGGGTCTTTTCGGCTTGTAATGGGACTGAGGGTTAAGGTATGGTCAATTTGGATTGGTGACTTATACCTTTTCAATGCATTGTTGCAATCATCACCACTTATTCTCAATTTCTTTTTCTTCTTTTTCATTTAAGAACTCAAACTTTGAATTTTCACTCAATTTATTTGGAACCCCATTTTATTTCATTCACTTCTCTTTTTTCAATTACATTTTTCCAAAGCATTTTCATCCCGATGATATCATATATTTTATTTTATTTTTATTTTTCATAAGGAGAGGTTCATTCTCTTCGGTAACACTTTCAAAGTTGAGTCTCATTTCATTATTCTTTTCTCTTCACTTGTCTTTTCTTCTTCCTTTCTTTCCACACCCCAACTTAGGATTTTGGCCTAAGTTGGCATATTAAAACATCACAATGCTTCAAAAAGGATCTTTGGTGAGAAGGTAGGGATAATTTGGTTTAATAGGATTTCTTTTGGTTGCCAACAAATAGGTTAGGCTCAAATGATGCCAACATGGATTCACACTCTCACAAGATAGTCACAAAAGCTTTTTATGGGCAATTTGGTTCTCTCATAAATTGTTGTCCAAGATCATGTCTCACATTCACCAAGATTAACACAATTGGACTGACAAGGCAAATTTTAGGACTCCACATGCATGCTTTCTAGAATACCTCACCACACATGACATTTCAAAATGAACTCATTTAGCACATCTCGAAAAGATCAAAGTGTACATGCGATGTTCATTGAAAGACTCACATAAAAACATATCTCGTCAACAAAAGATTTAAAGAGATAGCTCAAAGGTGTAACCACATCGATTTCATTCCCGCAACACCAACACAGTGCATCATGCTAATCATGAGTACTGTTCAAGGCATCAATATTGAACATAATCGATCCTCATTTTTTTATCAATGAAAACTTCAAGCATTTCACAATCTTAAACTATGGGGGTTGCAACATCAAGAGAGAACAAAACAGAAATAGAGGACAAACTTTACTTCAAAAGATCACTCTAATACTTAAAATAACTAAATACAGTAAAAAAGAGATACTAGTTTGGCCCATATACAATGTGCCTCATCCCACCAAAAAGGAAAGGGTAGTGTCCTCAATGCATATAAATGTTATAAAAAGATGAAGGTAGAAGCACTACTTGAGCAATCACTCGTCGATGAACCGCTAAGTGGAGTCAGATCACCTATTGGGGATGTAGTGTAGGACAATATGTCTTGCATTTCGGCGGTCTACACCATGATCGCCCAATGTGCATGGATGGATTGTCTTTTCATGCATGACCATCACCAAAATTATCACTGGGCTGCCTATTTTTCGTGCCTGATTAGGCGGACTGCAGTGGGTTCACCCAATGGAGTTAATACATCGCCTAGTAGGTCATGAGAATCACCGAAGTAGAAAGTAAGCACCTAAAGTTGAGCCTCCCATTGGGAGAACCCGTTGGAGCTTTTCCTACTATACTCGACGCATCTCTGATGTGCCCTTACCATCTCTTATTACACAATACATGCACATGTGAACACCCATGTTATTGAAAACAACTAACAATTGGGTTGCCTCCCAAGAAGCGCCTAATTTAACGTCGCGGCACAACATGGACATGTTCTTCAAACATCATCCAAATACACCACTTTAACAACCCGTATATCCTGGCTCTCTCCAAAGTAAGCCTTCAACCGTTGCCTATTAACCTTAAACCTTACTCCCTTTGCACCTTTAATTTCGATCGCTCCATTGCCATACACGCGGGTGACATTGTGCGGACCAGTCCCCTTTGACTTGAGCTTACCTAGGATTAGCTTCAACCTTGAATTGAACAGTAGGACCAACTCCCACACTAAAAACTGATGACTTAGTATCTTAGAATCATGCCACTGGTTAACCTTTTACTTGTATAGAGCGGAGCTTTCGTAGGCCTTTAAATGAAATTCATCCAAATCAAGGAGTTGGTGTATACGACCTCTAGAGGCAACATCACAGTTCCAATTTATATTCTTCAATGCCCATAAAGCCTTCTGTTCTAAATCAACCGGAAGATGACAAGCTTTTCCAAACACTAACTTGGAGGGCGATATCCCAATGGGAGATTTGAATATCATACGGTAGGCCCAAATCGCATCATCAAGCTTGCTAGACAAATTAGTACGGTGGACATTCATAGTTTGGATAGATTGCTCTGTATTTCTCAATTAGATACTTCAACTTGTCTACTCGATTGTGGATGGTATGGAGTTTCCACCATGTGCTTGACCCTATATTTTGAGATGAGGGCTTCAAACTGGTGATTGTAAAAGTGTAACCCTCCATCACTTATAATGGCCCTTGGGGTACCAAACCTAGTGAAGATGTTCTTTTTGAGAAACTTTGTGACACTTCGCGCTTCATTGTTTGATAAGGCTATCGCTTCCACCCACTTGGAGACATAATCCACTCCTACAAAGATGCACTTTTTTCCAAAAGAGACAGGAAAAGTTCCCATGAAATCAATCCCCCAAACATCAAACAATTCAATTTCAAGGATTTGTGAAAGTGGCAATTCATGTCTTCTTGATATACTCCATTGTAATTGACATTGGAACCAACACTTGTAAAATGCATGAGCATCCCTAAATATTGTCGGCCAATAATAGCCACATTGTAAGACCTTAGAGGATGTAGGAATTCCCCGATGATGACCACCTACTGGCGAGGCATGATATGCTTCAAGGATCTCATTCACTTCTACTTCCGGCACACAACACCGAATAATATTATCAACACACTCTCTAAAAAGGAAAGGTTCATCTCATATATATATTTCTTCACATCAAATAGGAATTTCCTCTTTTGATGGCTACTCAAATCATCAGGTAACATCCCACAAACAATAAAATTAGCAAAATCAGCATACCAAGGAACATAGGGTGTAGAAATTACCATAAGTGATTCATCTGGGAAAGTATCATCAATGCCTTTCTCTTAAACCACTCTAGCATCTGCCTTCAACCTTGAAATATGGCCAACTACCTGGTTTTCACACCCCTTTCTATCCTTCACCTCAAAGTCAAATTCTTGAATAAGTAACACCCATCAGATCAGGCATGGCTAATCTTTTTTCTTTGCCATTAGGTACATTAAGGTTGTGTGGTCTGTGTGAACAACCACTTTGGTACCCAATAAATATGATCAGAACTTCTTAAAATCATACACTACAGACAACAACTCTTGTTCTGTTATGGTGTCATTCTTTTGAGCATAATTCAATGTTTGACTAGCATAATAGATAGGATGAAAGACATTATTTTTGCGTTGCCCAAGAACAACTCCTAGAGATAAACCACTAACATCACACAACATTTTGGAAGGGAGATTCCAATTGGGGGCAATGAGTATTAGGGCTGAGATAAGTTTCTCCTTGAGTGTTTTGGAAGCCATCCTGCAAGAGTCATAAAAAAATGTGTTCTCTTTCTCAAGAAGTCTACACAATGGAATAGCGATCTTGGAGAAATCTTTAATGAACCTTTTGTAGAACCTGAAATGACCAAGAAAGCTCCTCACACCTTTTACCGTAATCGGGGGAGGTAATATTTTGACTGACTTCAATACCTTCCCCGGATATTTTGTTCCCAACCACTATTCCCTCTTTCACCATAAAGTGACATTTCTCCTAGTTGGGGACCAAATTTGAATCCACACACCTTTTCAACACCATTTCCAAATGCTTCAAAAATTTCTCGAAGAATCATCCATGAACACCTCCATAGAGTCTTCTACCATAACTGCAAAGATTGATAGCATACAATGTTGAAATGTGACTGGGGCATTGCATATCTCAAATGGCATTCACTTGAACGCGAAAGTGCCAAATGGGCATGTAAATGTTGTCTTTTCTTGATCTTCCGGTGTAATGGAGATTTGGTTGTACCTGGAATATCCATCAAGAAAGCAATACCACCCTTTTTCGGCAAGCCTATCAAGCATCTGATCAATAAAGTGCAGAGGAAATGATCTTTTCGGTCCATGAATTTAGCTTCCAATAGTTCATGCACACACGCCACCTAGTAACGGGTCTAGTTGCAACTAACTCGGCCTTGTCATTAGGAACTACCATGATACCACCCTTTTGTGGAACACATTGTACCAGACTTACCTATTGGCTATCCACAGTTGGGAAGATGACTCCTGCATCTAACCATTTTATGATTTCTTACTTCACTACTTCTTGCATCGGAGGATTTAATCTTCTTTGATGTTCAATACTTGGTTTGCAATCTTCTGCCAAGTTTATTTTGTGAGTGCATACACCCGATGAAATACCCATAATATCGGCAATAGATCACCCCAAGGCTTTAATGTGCCTCTTCAGCACTATGATCTACAACTCCACTTGCCATTATTTATATCGCTTGCAATAATTACTGGAAGAGTGTTGTTGCCCCAAAGAAAACATACATGAGATGAGACGGAATCTCCTTCAAAGTTTACACTTTCACGTGTTTATATTTCAAGTGACCTATCTAAAGGGAGACGGAATCTCCTTCAAAGTTTACACTTTCACGTGTTTATATTTCAAGTGACCTATCTAAAGTTTACATGCTAAACAACAAGACCACACAATATAAATTACTATAACATACAACTTAAGTTTCTAATTAACTATATACAGATACTTTTATTTAATTACAAACATAGTTTTAAAGTTACGGACATAATAAAATAATTAATTTTCCAATTAAAATTAATTAATTATTTTTGATTTTTCTCTTCCCTTCTATTAGGATTTTGTGCCTAAATTTATGGATGTTAATTTAATTTTATACGTTACTATTCTCTTCATTTATAATTATGCCTTTAATATGATATTTATTTTTATTTTATTCCTTTTGTGATACAATCAAGGTAAGGTAAAAGTAAAACTTTTACTCTTTCCAAGATTCCTCCTTCCCTAGGTAGTTCAGACTTTCTAGAATTTTGTCCTTCTCTCTTCTTCCTTCGGTTTCTTCTGTTTCTCCATTGTTTTCCTTTTGGTCACACTTTCACCACTGTTAACTTCTTGTTGTTGTTTATCTTCAACTTCATAGTTTTTTTCCGATAGCTAGGACAGAAAAACCCAAGGCTTAACAAATCAGTTGTAGTGATTGATAGTCCTCCCATTATATGTTCTAGACCTTCATTTGAGTCGAACGCGTTCACTCAAACTCCGCTCAAAGAAGGTGAAAGAGATGACAATAAAATCGTTAAAGAAAAAAAATGAATTTCTTGTCATCAATTCCTCATCAACCTGCAAGATTCAGCACAAATCGTGTTCGATTGTCAATCCTAACAAGAAGGGTAAGGAAAAGGCAAATGAAGATTCTGTTTCGGAAAACTATCAACACGATAGTGATTTTGAAGACAATTGCTAAAAGGTTAAGGTTAAATACAAATTCTAAATCATCAGAAAAATCGTGTCAAAAGGTACTTATTTTAACTTTGATTATGATTTTATTCATATATATGACATGCAATTTTAAATGTATATTTTTTATTGTTAGAATTCTGCTGGTATTGCTGCTAGGAAAGTTTCAAACCCAAAAAGGGCCAGGTTGGTTAGTAAAAAAAAGGAATAAATTCACACCACTTTCAAGGTAAGTTTTTTTTTCGTTTATTATATTAATTTTTTATTATTGTATTGCTTTACTTGAAATACTCTGTTTTTAGTTTTATATTTATGATTTGCATTTTTTTTGACAATGATAAAATTTTATATTTTTATATTTACTGTCATTATAATTTGTTTTTGTTTTTGTTTTTGTTTTATGTCTAAGTTTTACATTATTTTATAATGATATCTTGTTAATGTTTTATTTAATGTTTTTTAGATAAAGAAGAAACAACCACGTTGGTGTTCATCAATCAACCTCAACGTATTCGTTGATATAAAGAATCGGCTTTCCAAAATTAATTGTCTTCATTTGTTTAAAAAGTCGATTTTTGGATATCTTTTGGATTTACTACAAATGAAAGTGAAACCTCAGATTATCAAAAGTTTGGTACATCATAAGTCGACTAATGATTGCGATGACAACTTTGTTTTTAATTTAAATGGCAATGAACTTGAGTTGGGACTTAAGGAATTTAGGATTGTGACTGGGTTTAAATGTAGTGGGTCTATGGTTTTTAATCATGATCCTAAGAGTACATCAAACCTCATGAGTAATTACTTTCCGAATGCTACTAACAAGGTGTTGAAAGCTTATTTTTAAGGGTTTTTAATGAAGACGAGTTGATTAGGTCGGAAGACATGTTTAATATGACGATGATTTATTTCATCAGTACGTTTATTTTGTCATCTCTACCAAACATTCTCTTGTTCCAAAAGATCACTTTCTTTGTGTCGAGTATAGACAATATAGTATATACCCTTGTGGTAATCTATCATTTTTTCAACTAAGGGATTCAATAACGAGTCAAATGGCTAAGGATCCTAGTTATGTGAAGTTTTTTTGGTTCCCTCTTGCGTTGCAAATTTGATTATACGTCAGTTGCAATAAAATTGATGAATCAATCGCCATTCGTACATGACATGTTACTCCCCACATATTCAATGAAGACATTTCGAAAAACAAGACTTATTATGAGCATCTCAAGAAAGGCATGTTCAGAAAATAAGGCAATTAGGTAATACAAATTTGTCATTTATAATTACTTAAGTTATTTTATCTATGTTTGCACTTATACTTATAATTATTATTGTCATTATAGTATATGTTTCAAGATGTTGTGTTGATGGATGATGAACGTGCTGTTATTGAGATAGAAAACCTTAATGATCTGAATGATTCATCATTCAACAAGTTGAGAGAAACTGAAAACATAACGTGGTCTCACAGTCACACAAGGAAGAATGAAAAGGAGTTGCCTTACAATCCTTCACATTATGTTGGTGTTGATTTGAATTTAACAAGTAATGAAGATTTTCAGAAGCTGGCTCAAGAAGTTATTAAGGTTCATCAAAGCATGAATGATCATTTACCGTTTATACCTTTATATATATATATATATATATATATATATAT